TTTTTTTTTTAATTTTTTGTTGTGATTTGGGTGAAATTTTACAGAGCAAATTCATTTTCCATACAGTGGTTTATACACATTCTGTTTTATGACATTAACTGCAATTCCCCACAGTGTAACAGCTCTCTTCCTGCTTCCTCTCTGTAGTCACCTCATCCCTGTGTCCTCCTTTCTATGCCTTCCTGCCCCCTGACTATCTCCCTGTGCAAATAGTGCAAATACTGCCCATCTGTTCTCCCATGATTGCTTGGTCTATGGAGGTCTCTGAGGTCAGTGTTTACCCTTTATGCTTATTGTTTGGCTGGAAGCCACAGGTGTAAGTTCAGTTCCACACCTGAGGGGGAACTAGGGGCCATAGCCTCGGCGGTCTCACCAGGCTCGTCAGACCAGTAAACCTGGTTGGTTTTATGATTTTGAGTTTTCTGTTACATTCTTTTTCCTGGCTGCTTGGGTTCTGTGATGCAGGTGCCGGGACGTATTTCCCAGTCCTGTTCTGGTGAATGGTGTACCTTGCGTGGTACGGACAGTGCTTGTATTCCCAGCCCCGGAAACAGCTCCTCTTCCTCAGTCATTATTTACTCCACCAGGTCAGGTTTGCTCTTCTCTCTTAGTATCTTTAACTTGGCAACTCGTGGTCTTCTCTTTCTCCTTACATCTGTCCACCTGTATCTGTCTTTCTGTCTGTTAAGACCTGTGACTCATTGCTCTTGAGCCCATTGTGATTCATTTGGATTGAATGGGTTTCTTAACTGGAAATTGGTTCACTTTCCACACATTCTTATGATTAAGAGTGATCAGAAAAGTTGCCCACACAGAAACGTATGCACGGATGTTCTTAGTGGTGTGATTCGTGATAGACAAAAAATGGAAACAACCTAAGCATCTATCAGTGGCTGAGGTTGGGTGCTTTTGACTTGACCGTAGAGGACAGAGTAGAACTGCCCCATAGGCTTTCCAAAGTTGTAAATTTTTATGGAAGCCGACTGCCTCATCTTTCTATTGTGCAGTGGCTGATGGGTTCGTTCCACCAGTCTTTTGATTGGCAGCCCAGTGCGTTAACCACGGTGTCACCAGAATGCCTGTTAATAGATGACAGACAAACACTATTTGGTATGTCCGAGAAATGGAATGCCAGACATAAAAAGGAAGGCAGGCTGATACATACTACGTGGAGGGACTTTGAAAACATGATGCTCAGTGAAGAAAGCAAGCATGCAATCCCACTTACCAAGCCTGGAATAGGAAAACCCTGGGCACAGAAAATCCAAGCTATTGTGTTGGGAGTGGTAACGTCAGTCATCGCGAGAGTCTGGATAGGTCACTGTGGTCTTGGGGCACTGGTGCGGTGGGTACAGCCCACGTAGCACAGGCCATGTTTCTCACCAACCCGTTCTTACAGAGCACTGACTTGCAATCTGCACGCTGGAATTGGCACTCTGTGTTCTCCGAGGCCTGGCATGCTGGCTGGCTGCGAGTGCCTCCTCCCGTGGGAGCGCATGTGCATGGTGCTGTCTCCATGGGGCAGAGCCAGTGCTAGGGCAGAGTTAGTGGCGTGAGTCCTCAGACACCTGAGTGCTGAGCCACAGTGCTGGGGCTGGCCATGGGCTGGGCAACGCAGGAGCAGACACGCAGATGATGGCTGTGGGACCTTGTTTAGTCTGAGCCCACAGGGTGGGCTTTAGAGTCGGAATGAAGCATCAGGTCTTCGGGCAGCCCTGGGCAGCAGAGCCTGTGGGGGAGCCAGGGAGAGGGCGGGAAATGAGCAAGGCTGGCCGCGGCCACGGGGAGGATTCAGGAAACCATCGGGGCAGATGTGGGGCACCTTGTCTCTTTGAAGCGTCACTCTGGCTGTTGTGTCAGGAGTGAGTTGGAGGAGAGCAAAGAGATGGCTCTGGCTGTACCTGTGGTTCCACTGAAGGACAGTGTTTCAGCAGAGGCGTGGGGTCGATGGGCTCCTGGGGAGGGAGGTGCTGACTACCCACAGCTGCTGGCTGTCAGGTGAGCAGGCATCACTGAGTGATGCTCTGGTCCCCACTGTGGAACCAGCCTGAGGCCAGGTGGCTGGAAGAGTGGCTGGGTGGGGAGGATGAGTGGGAGGGGGCTTTGTTCTGTGGGAAGTGGGTGAGTGCACTGGAGCCTCGCTAGGGAAAGCTCTTTCTGGCCCCTGGGGAAGATAGGGGACCGTGGCTTTGATTCGGTTTGGCCCAGCTGGCACATCCTAAAGGTGGAGCTGAGAGACTGGCAGGGCTCTGTCTGTGTGGGGTAGGTGGGCTGCTATTGCAACCCCAGAGTCCCTGAGGTCTTTGTGCAGGAATTGAAGGGCCCATCGGAAGAGTGCTTGGAAGAAAAACAGCCACACGTCAGACCACATTAGATTGTAAAGTCCTCAGCTGCTGGTCTGATGAAAATGTGGCTGTGGACTGGGCAAGGGGGAGGACCTGTCAACATTTTTGGAGCTGCAGACAGAGGAACTGGTTGAATATGGAACCTGAAGGGAGATGGGTTTGGAACTAGATGAATGTAGGTGTAGGTGTGCACAGTGCATGTGTACATGTATATGCGAACATGTGTAGATGTAGTTGCACACAGTGCAGACACGTGTAGGTATAGTTGCACACAGTGTGGGCACATGTCAGTATACATGCACACAGGGCAGATGTGTGCATAGATGCTCACACAGTGAGCACACATGTGGATGTAGTGCGGACACACATGTAGGTATAGAGGCATACACTGCATATGCAAACACATAGGCACACATGTACATACTATGGACATGTATGTGCATAGATGTAGATGGACACAGCACACAGATGTATATGTGCACAGAATGAGCACACGTGTGGATATAGTTGGACACGGTGTGGGCGCACATATAGATGTACATGTGTACACTGCACATGCACACATGTACATAATGTGGACTCGTGCATAGATGAAGATGCACACAGTGAGCACAGGTGCATGGATGTAGTTGAACATGTGAGGGCACACATGTAGATGTAGATGTGCACACTGCATATGCACACACGTAACTACACATGTACACACTGTGGACATGTGCATGGATATAGATGCACACATTGAGCGCACGTGTGTGGATATAGTTGAAGATGGTGTAGGCACGTGTGTAGATGTAGATGCACACATTGCATACACACACATAGGTACATATGTACATACTGTGGACATGTACATAGATGTAGATGTACACACTGAGCATGTGTTTAGATGTATTTGAACATAGTGTGGTCACATGTAGATGGGCACACATAGATACATATGCACATGGTGTGTCCGTGTGCATAGATGTAGATGTGCACAGTGAGCATGCATGTTTAGATGTAGTTGAACATAGTGTAGGCACACATGTAGATATAGATGGTCACAATATATGCATACATGTAGATACACATGCAGATATTGCAGACATGTGCATGGATGTAAATTCATACAGTGAGCACATGTGTGTGGATGTAGTTGAATATAGTCCGGGCACACATGTAGGTGTAGATGCACAAAGTGTACATGTGTATAGATGTCCATACTCACTTTTTGACTTACGTGCACACAGTGTGGGCACAGGTATGTAATGTAGCTGCATATGTTGTGGGATGTAGATGCACACACTGTGCACACATGTGTAAATACACATGCACACAGTGCACACACATGCATAGAGATACATACTGTGTGCATACGTGTGTAGGTATAGTTTGCACGCAGTGTGTGCTCATGTAGTTGTAACATGCACACAGTCCGTGTGTAGATGTACATGCACATAGTGCATGCACATATGTGTAGATGTAGGTGCACACAATGTGTGCACATATGTGTGGGTATGGATGCTCACAGTGCATTTGTATACACGTGTACATACTGTGGGGATGTATGTGTAGATGTAGATGGACACGGTACATACGCAGATGTATACACAATGTGGGTACACACAGTGTGGGCACACACGTCTGAATCTAGATGCACACATGTAGATGTTGATGCACATAGTGTGCATAAGTGAAGATACAGATGTACAATGAGAGTGCACACGTATAGATGTACACAATGCATGCCTGTGCATGTAGGTGTGGCTTTTCATGGTGCATTTGCACAGGTGTGTAGATGTACAAACAGTGCAGGCGTGCAAGTATAGATATAGATGCACACATGTGTACACATGCAGATGTACACTATGCATGCACACGTGGAGATGTGGATGCACGTGTGTGTACACACATGCACACTGTGTACACATGTAGATGCACATGATGCGTGTACACATGGAGATGTCGGTGCACATGGTGTGTGTACACATGGAGATGTAGATGCTCACTGCGTATACACGTGGAGATGCACTGTGTGCATGCACATATTGATGTAGACACGTGTGTGGGGGTAGATGTAGCTGCACACACTATGCACACACATAGATGTACATGCATAGTGTAGGCATACATGTAGATGTAGATGCACACTATGTGCACACGTAGATTTACATGGATAGCGTAGGCATATGTGTAGATGTAGATGTGCACAGTATGTGCACACATGTAGATCCAGGGGCACACCATACCCACATGTAGATGCACAGAAGCACACAGTATGTTCATGTGTGTAGATGTAGATGCACACAGTATGTGTGTGCATACTGTATATGCACACACATCAAAGTACACACAGTGTAGATGCAGATGCACACAGTAGCCATGTGTAGCTGTAGATGCACACGTCATGTACATACACATATACATGTAGGTTAACACAGTATGTACATGGTTTGTAGATATAGATGCACACAGTGTGCACACTCACATAGATGTACCCTCTAGGCATGTGTAAATAAGTACACACAATGCACACACATAGAAGGTACACTCAGTGTAGGCAATGTGTAGATGTAGTTGTGCACAGCACATACACACATGTAGATGTACACTCAGTGTGGGCACATGTATAGATGTAGTTGCACACAGCATGTGCACACACATGTAGATACATACTCAGTTTGGGCACACGTGTAGATGTAGGTGCACACCACACATGCACACACATGTAGATGTACATAGGCACACACGTTGATGTAGATGCTCACAGTATATGCACACATGTAGATGTAGATGTACACAGCATGTGTGCATGAGTAAATGTACACTCAGTGTAGGCACATGTGTAGATGCAGGTGCACCCAGCATGTGCACGCACATGTACACTCAGTGTAGGCACATGTGTAGATGTAGGTGCACGCAGTTTATGCACACACATGTAGATATACACTCACTGTAGGCATACGTGTAGATGTAGGTGCTAACAGTATATGTACACGTAAATGTACACTCAGTGTAGGCACACGTGTAGATGAAGGTGCGTACGGCGTATGCACATGCATAGATGTACACTCAGTGTAGGCACACATGTAGGTATACTGCACATGTATTTCAGTGTGGGCACACATAGATGTAGGTGCACACAGCATGTGCACACACATAGATGTACACTCAGTGTCGACACACATGTAGATGTAGGTGCACACCATATGCGCACACACATGTAGATGTATACTCTAGGTACGTGTGTAGATGTAGGTGCACACAGCATGTGCACATGTATAGATGTACATTCAGTGTGGGCACACAGATGTAGATGCACACAGCATGTGCACACACACAGATGTACATGCAGTGTAGGCACACATGTAGATGTAGGTGCACACACTATGCGCACACGTGTAGATGTAGATGCACACAGTACATGCACACATGTAGATGTACACTTAGTGTAGGCACACTTGTAGGTGCACACTGTGTATGGTGGGCTGATGTGGAGGCACGCAGTGGATACACACATGTAGATGTACACATCCAGAAGCACATATATACACACAGATAGTAAAATACTGCCAAACTCTATGAAGTGAGAAAAGCAAGGGGTTCACAGTGTCGATATAAAACTGAACTCATTGTAGAGTCGCATCCGTCTCATAGCGACCCCTCCTTGGGTTTCGAGGTGGTATCACTACGGAAGTGGATAGCCTAGTCTTCCGAGGATTGGCTGGTGGGTTTGAACTTAGCAGTCAAATCTTTAGGTGCTGTGCCACCAGAGCTCCTTCATTGTCAGTAGTTGGACCTATTTTTCGTAAATTAGGAGGAAGAATATTTTGTTTCACTTAGGCTGGGGGTGGTGTTAGATGCCATTGACTCAGTTCTGACTCACAGCGACCCCACATACAGCAAGACGAAACACTTTCCACCTCTTTGCCACCATCACAATTGATGTACACAATTGTGTAGATGTACACGTGTACAGCCACTATGAAGTATGTGTAGAATCTTTTATGGAAGGAAACACAAGAAAGTGAATGTCTGCGAGTTACCCACTCTGGGACGATGAGCTGTTTCCATTTTCCTTCTGAGTGGATAAACAGTGCAGAAGCGAATTATTCACAATGGGAGGGGGATGGGAAAGGGCAGAGTTGCCCCTTCCTTCTGGTGGGAAAACCCCAGTGGAGGCCTGGGCCCTCCCCTCTCTGATGGGCAGGTCGGGAGCTGTGAAGGGCAGGAGCTCTGGGGTGTGACCTGCACAGACCTGCACTTGAGTTAGAAGGGAAGGGGACCAGGAACCAGAGAGAAGCCCTGGTGGTCCAGAGTAGCTTGTTGTGTGCAGGAAGTGACGGCACGTGACATGTGTGACTCGGCTGATGAGCAGCGGCTTGTGTATGGCCGCTGTGATTGCAGCTGACATCTGCCCTGTTGGCATGAGAGTGTCTGTGTGAGGGCTGAGCAGAGGCATGCAGAGTCTTGCTGAGCCTGCTGTCGGTTGGAGTGGGGCTGGGATCTAAACCCCAACCTTGTACTTGAGCCTACGTTGTTTGCTGCTATGCCTCACCCCGTCTTGCACCCAGAACACTCTTTCCTTACTCAGGTCAAGAACGATTGTTGTGGAAGATCTTTTAGGTTCAAAGCAGATCATGTTCAGGTGATCGTATAATAGAGCCCTGTCCAGTGACTGGTGCTCACATCAGAGGGACTGTTGCTTTACAGTTTCAATTGTGTTTGTTGCTTCCCTGCTTCAAATCCTTGAGTGACTTTTGCAATTAGAACAAGATGAAAAGCTGTGACTTCCCCTGATTCTTTGCCACCCCAGTTTCCCTAGCAGCCCCCACCCTGATAATGGACTGCAGAACTCTTTGCACCTCAGGTTTACCTGGAAGGCTCCTCAGTCCCCATAGCACCACCTTCCTCCTCTCCAAGGTCTCTGCTTAGAGGTCCTGCTGGAGGTGAGGCCTGTTGTCACCTCTTACTCGTAGACATCATTGTTTTCTTTATAGCACATACCAGAATTTATAATTGAAGCCTTGTCCATTGTTTGTCTTTCTGCTTTAGAGTGTAAGGGTAGGGACCTTATCAGTTTTATTCATCGTTAGATACCCAGGATCTTGTACAGTATCTGACACATAAGTGCAAAAATAGTTATTTTTAGAATGCATTAATGAATATGTAAATAGAAAAATAAATGGTAGAATTGATGAGATCAATTAGGGATACAAAAAATATGGCAAGCTAGTGTTATAAATCTCGGAAGGAAGTTTGGGCAATCCTACTTCCGTAGTGATACTGCCTCGGAAACCCAAGGAGGGGTCGCTATGAGTCGGGTTTGACTCGACGGTACCTAACAACATAACAGTGTTATAAATAATTAAGAGCTACTTGGATGGTAGGAATAAACATACCAGCATTTCAAAGGGGAGAGGCCTACTTAGGGCAGGTGTGTCTTGAAGGGTGATGGTTCACTTAGAAGGAGAGAGGAGTGAGCTCCCAGATAGGCGTGGCCCTGGCACGTGTGAGGCATAACTGGGATACTTCATGAAACACCTGTACAGGAGCAGAGTAAGAGTGGAAAATAAGTCTGGACAAAGATCTGAAGACAGGCGTGTTCTGGAGCTGTGTTATCCAGTTCAGGAGCCAGCAGCCATGTGGGCTCCTGTGTCTTGAAAAATGTGGCTTGTTGCTGCTGCCAGGAGCCATCAGTTGGTTGTGACTCACAGCTACCGTGTGCACAGAATGAAACGCTGTCCGCTCCTGTGCGATCCTCACGGCCACTGCTGTGCTTGAGCCCACTGTTGCAGCCACCGTGTCAGCCCGTCTTGCTGAGGCCTTCCTCTTTTGCACTGCACTCTGCTTTACCGAGCATGATGTCCTTCTCCAGAGACTGGTCCCTCTGTTGCCACGTCCAAAGTAAGTGAGCCCAGGTCACCCTCCCTTCTGAGGAACGTTCTGGCTGTACTGCTTCCAAGACAGATTTGTTCATTCTCTGGCAGTCCGGGGTGTATCCAGCAGTGTGAGGGTGGGGCAGGACTGGGCAGTGTTTCTTTCTGTCATATAAAGAGTCACTGTTAGTCGAAGCAACCTTGACGGCATTTAACAACAACATCAAAATGTGGTATAGTCAGTATTCTTCGCTGTCACCATAATTCAGATGAGCAACTGACACTCTTTTCCACAGTTGGCCCCTGACCTAACTCTGACTGATAATACTGAGTTCCTCCACCGTCTCTTTCCTCAAGCCTAGTTGATTTGATTACTGCATATTCCATCCGGTGTATAGTATAGTCACTGTTCATGTTGAAAAAAGATATTTGCAAAGCTTTAGTTGTTTGTCTTGCAAAATTCTGTCATGCGGTGTCCGGTGTTATTTCTGCCGCCAAGACCGTATTTTCCAACTACTGATGCTGCTGCTTTGTTTCCAACTTTTGCATTCCATTCACCAGTAATTATCTATACATCTTGATTTACTCCATCCATGTTTGGTCAGTTTCAGGCTGTAGAAGTTGCTTAAAAAATCGTTAGTTTCTTCATCTTTGGCTTTGGCAATGTGGTGTGTAAATTTGAATACTAGAAGCATTGTTAGTTGTTGTTAGGTGCCGTCGAGTTGTTTCTGACTCATAGAGACCCCATGCACAGCAGAACGAAACACTGCCCGATCTCACGCCAGCTCCACGATCCCTGCTCAAGCCCATCATCGCAGCCACCATGTCAATCCAACTCGTTGAAGGCCTCCCCCTCTTTCGTCGACCCTCCACCTTACCAAGCATGACATCCTTCTGCAGGGAATGATCCTTTCTGACAACGTGACCAAAATAGGTGAGATGAAGTCTGGCCATTCTTGCTTCCAAGGAGCATTTTGGGTGCACTTCCTCCAGGACAGATCTGTTAGTTCTTTTAGCAGTCCATGGTACTTTCAGCATTCTTTGCCAGCACCACAACTCAAAAGCATCACCTCTT